GAACTCAGAGAAGAGGACAACAGAAGGCCACCGACCACGCAGCTTGTTCGGCTCGTACATCGGATAAGAGTTACTGTAAGGGCTTAGAGCTACTACAAGGGTTTAAGGTTAACGGGTTCCTTGGGGGGGTTCTGGCTGCAGAAATGCAACAGGTGAACATGGCAGCGGCCACGGTCTCGAACTCCTCAAACTCCACGCCGGATTCTTGAGGTCCCTCTCCCACGAAGTTGCCTCAGGGTTTAGGGTTTAGGGCTTAGGGTTCAGGAGAGTCATGGAGCCATGGTAGAACCAGTGGCTGCTGCGCTCCTGCCCTGTAACATCTCTGCAGACCAGGAGCGCATGCCAACCCCGATGCTATAAACAAGCACCACCAGGAGGACGATGGCCCAGCAGATCACGCGCAATCCGGAGAAGACACCGAGTACGATCCTCGGAGCACACCAGACCTCCTTTAAAAAAACAGCGAAAGAAAGGCTTGGGGCCCAGACCCAAGTCCGAACGATCTACGTAGTGTTTAGGGCGTAGGGTGTCCTTCTAGAGTTCAGGAACAATGTTTAGGACCGGCTATCCGTATTCTTGGCTGCCAAGTATGATTCTATTCTACTATGATTAGTCGTTGTCGTCGTAGGAACACCGAACTGAGCGCCTCAAGCCCGTGACATGAAAGCCTGAACCCAGAACTCCACAACACCTACAACCTTGCTCCGGAACTACGACAGAATTCGAGACTCCACCGACAGCACTCAACCCTAAACCCCCTTAACCTCACACCCGAAACCCCTAAACCCTAAACCCCACACCCCCAAACCTCTAAACGTCACACCCTAAACGCCTAAACCTCACAGTAGACCTCTAAACCTAAAGACATGGCTCAGCTTGAGCTCATGGAAGACCTGGAAGCGCAGTGCGCGGATCAGGCGGGCCAGACGCGCCAGGCGGAAGATCTTCATCAAATTCAAGGAGGAGATGGCCTGGTATTTTAGGGCTGGGTCTAGGGGCCGCAAAACACACGGAGTTTGGGCCGGAGTCTCATTACCCATGTTTTGTAACTTTACTGGCGCCGCTTTAAGGGTTAGAGTCAGCATTGTTCCAGTCACTCCCAGTCTAAGCGGATGACCCCGGAAAGTAGTCCATCATTGTAGCATGTCCTGCACACTGCTTATACTCAATCTATTGTAGCCTTTTCTCGCTTAGGAGACTAAGGCTTTAGACAGGGGCTTTACTGGGGCGGAGGGCGTCGGGCTTTAGAGTTCAGGGTTTCAAGGGGTTTTGGACTGTTCGGGTTGTAGGGCCAAGTTGAATGTTGCAGGACCGCGGATTTGAGCTCCGGTACTTCCAGCGCCTCGGCGTCGGAGCTATCACGGCCCTGCAGCAGCAGCATCGTGGCGACTGCTACGTCCACCTCAATCAGGCCCGACACTACCCGGACGAGGCTTCAGAGGAGTGACTGCTTGCTGTGTCTGTTGGTGGTTTGGGGCCTCAAGATTTAGAAATGTGTATCGAAAGGCAGAAAGTCTGCGTCTACGACTAAACATCGTCTGCGACTGGGCGCCGGGCATACATGACAAGCAAGCAAGCAATGTCGAAGAGGTTCCATGCACGCTCTGGGCCACACCAGTACCAGCTCCAGCCATACATCCATACCTAAACGCGTGGAAAACATATGTGAGGTCCGAGATGGGGAGTGCCTTTCCGGTGAAGCTGTGCCAGGGGTCTGAACGACTGGTGAGATTATCCCCTAGCTGTACCCCTTGCATAAAACCCACTACAGTATCCCCAAAGCCCCTATTCTAAGCTTTCGTCAAAGCCCCAAAACCACATAGGACGCTATAGGTCTATTCTAAAGCCTAGCCATATAAAACCCTACTCTGGTTACTACGTCCCCTGTGTTTTAGCCTCCGGGGAGCCTTGGCGAGAAATTCGAAGGTATAGAAGGCCACCTCAGAGTTGGGGCTACAAGCTTTAGGGTGCCGGGTAAAGGTTTAGGGCATAGGGTTAAGGGTTTTGGCTTTTGCTCTTAAGGGTTCTTAAAGGGTTTAGGGTTTAGGTTCGGGTTTAGGGTTCAGGGTGCAGGTTTGGGTTGAGGGTTTAGGCTGCAGGGGCGTCGGGTGCATCCTGGCATTCTAATCTGCGTCTCTAGACCCCTCTGGGCGTTCATGTCGGGTTGAGGGCAAGAGCAACATTGGTGTGTGGACGACTCCCGCTCTCAAGGAATCTTCCCCTCAAAGATCTAGGGCGCAGGTTCGGCTGGTTTCGGCATGTAGCCTGGAAACCTCAAACTTCCTACAACCTAAACCATAGATACAACGGCCCTCTCCACCCGAGAGTTCTACGCCGTAACCATCCCTACGACACCCTAAAACATTGAATCTTCCCAGGTTTAGGGTTTAGGGCTCACGCTTGAGTCCCTCTTGCGGTGCAGGGGCGAAGACGTATTCCAGCACCTGCCAGCCAATGTGACCACCTCAGAGCAGCTTCAGTGCTCAGGGCTCCTTTTTTATTTTATAACCTCTGACATGGTTCGTCATGTCTTATGAAGCGGCAGTGTCGAATAGCTGTCAAAAAAACCACTACAAGCCAGGTCACGATAGAGATCGAGGCTGATGCCAATGACGAGGGCATTGGCCACGATAACGATCGCAGGGACAATGTTCAACCAGGCAGCCCTCCGGTCAAACCTCGGGCTCTAAGAGTGAAGGCCTAGAAAGCTGGACTAGGGACTTAGGGGGATGGTTCCTGCTAGCAGTCCTTATGCTGTTAAGGGTATGAGGATGATGATGTTGCAACTTTCCGGCTTCTGCTGTAGGATTTAGGGTTTTGGAGTTTAGATTTGGGGTTTGGGTTTGGGGTTGGGATTCCGGTCTAAGGGCTTGGGAAGACATGCATCGCCCGCCGTAAACACCAAAAACTCTTTTTTTTTCAACCCCGTAAGGCCCTCTACAAACCCTAAACTAAACCCTAAACCCTACATCCTGCGGCCCGGGGCTTTTCGAGCTCGGCTTCGGTTTTCCCGCCGGTACACGAGCTGGGCATTTGCATCTCTCGCCGTTTCCGGAGGGCTTCGGCTTCCTCGCGACCTCCAGGCTTTGGGCTTTGGGGCTTAGGGGGCTTTGGGCTTTGGGTTTCGGGTTTGGGGTTTTGGGGCTTTGGGGCTTTGGGGCTTGGGGGGGTTAGGAGTCTAGGGTTGAGGGTCTTGGGGTGTAGGAGTCTAGGGTTGGGGGTCTTGGGCTTTTTGTTGATGTCCCTTCATCCACCTGCTGCTCGTGGACCTGGAGGTACCCTACTGTAGACGAAAACCCCCGGGTGTTGGGTTTACACTTCTTGGGCATGTAAAGGGCTCCGAAGCACATGCACCTGAGCACCCTGGGGGACTCAACATGGGACAGGTCTCCTGCATGCCTAGGCACAGTTCACAACGTCCAAAACATTCTCTGACATCTCCAAGGCATTTGTGGTGCACGTATCGATCTCTGCAATCACCATCTCCTCGTCCAGCGGCACCGAACAACGCAGCTTTAAGCAATGGCACAGAAGCTGCAGGATGCCAACTCCCAGTGTGGAGCTCTGGTTTAGCTAAGCATCTTCTTGCATCGGCTGCGCAGTCTCGTCCCGAAGTTTGGCAACGTCTGCGCAAGCCATGGCAGTAAGATCAGCAATGGGAGTCTGGCCATTACCGTCCTGTACCTCTGCAAGGACTGGCATTTTGGGCTTGCGGGCTCAATGGTTTAAGGAAATTAGGGAGTCGGGGTCGGGCTCGCGGGGAAGGAGAGAGCCGGGTGCCGGACGCAAATTGATGCCAAATCTTGCGCATGCTGCTGGACACCTTGGCACAGGCTTCAACGCCAGCGCCTTCAGCAAAACACATCCACCCCAGCATTGCATTCTAACAGGCCTAAATGCCTAAACCCTAAACCCCTAACGCCCTCAATCCCTCAATCCCCAAAGCCTCACATACCCGAAACCACCAGCTTACCAGCGTTGCCCGGCGGCGATCGAACTCCGCGCGAAGCTTTTCCACACTCTCCTCGAAGGCCGCTTTGGCGAGGCTGAGGCGGTCCTCGAAGCGGAGAGTTCAAGAGATTCAAGAGAGCTTTGAACCGCTTTTTGGAGTTCAGTTAAGGATATCGAAAATCCCTGAGATTCTTAATGGATGACCCTTTGCATAGAGAAGAAGTATCCCAACATCCGCAGTAAGGATCCGTAGTGCGATTCCAATCGGATTGAAAGAAAACAGAACCCTACACCCTCTGAGGTATGATTTCGACTCGAGTGGTCTGCACTTCCTGCGGCGGCCGCGGTGGATGAGGCATCATCGCGGGCTCGGCGGAACAAGCTGTTCGAGCCCACAAGACGGCAGAAGGAAGGATCCCTTAGACAGGAAGACACAGCGCCACAGCCGCAGCCCGACTTCCAAACTTTAGATTTAATCAGCCAAACCCCAAAGGTCTTTAATCACCTGAAGAGTGCTTGGAGGATTAGGGGACCCACCATGCAGGTTCTAAGCGGGGTTATACAAGTACGCTAATGACGGATTAAAACCCTTCAAAGCCCAATCCCCCAAAAAAAAGAGCCTCTAAAACCCCGATGGGATGATAAACTCTCGTAGAAACTCATGGGGCAGAGCCGGCCTGAAGGAATCCAGGTCTCCTTTGCTGCGCCAAAAAAGGACAAAAGGAGATAGCAGCAGCAGTAGCAGCAGGAGGAGAAGGAGGAAGAGTAGGAGTGGTAGTGGTAGTGGTGGTAGTGGTGGTAGTAGCAGCAGTAGTAATAGTCGTAGTAGTAGCAGCAGCAGTAATAGCAGCAGCAGTAGTAGCAGCAGCAGGCAGTTGTCCTCCTCCTCCGCCCTCTCCTCCTCCTCCTCCTATTGCTGCTGCTGCTGCTACCAGTAGCTACTGCTACTGCTGCTACTACTACTACTACTACTGCTACTACTACTACTACTACTACTACCACCACCCTAAACCCTAACCCTAAACCCTAAACCCAGATTACTCCTAGTAGTATGAATATGGTAATGATGCCCTAAACTGCCGAGAGCGCCGCTGACCATTTGCATGGGCGCTCGAGGCTCCGACCGAGGCCCCCGGCCGAGCGTCTCGTCAAAACAGTGAGGGAGGGTAAAGCCTCCCGGTATCCGGGGACGGAAATGACTCGGCTACGCCTCACACAATACGGACGTCAGTCCGTTATAATTAGGACCCCAAATCCCTCACCATTGGGGTGTTTTTGGTCTGTCCTAGCGGGTCTGGGGGGTACCCCCAGGAGGGTCTGGGGCC